AAAATTTGAGTTTTATTAATCAATATTTTATGCTTCAATTCGCGCATTAATTCTAAACTATTAATAAATTAGATATTCATTGATACAACATTGCACAATCAATCCTATAATAATGAATAATTTAAACGATTTCTTTAAATCCATACTGCTCATTTGATCTGACTCTCACTAATTAAATGCTTTTGTAAGCCGTTTTACACCACTACCCGAATTATAGTTATTCCATTGACATTTTACCGATGATTATTATGGGTTCATTTACATCAGTCTTTAGATGGTCATTTGTGCCATAGTTACCGGAATAGTTGTTTGTACCATGGTTGCTATATGGTCACCTGTGCCATAGTTACCGGAATAGTTGTTTGTCTCATGGTTGCTATATGGTCATCTATGCCATAGTTACCGGAATAGTTGTTTGTACCATGGTTGCTATATGGTCACCTGTGCCATAGTTACCAGAATAGTTGTTTATACCATGGTTGCTATATGGTCACCTGTGCCATAGTTACGTGGTCGTTTGTACCAAAAAAATGACCGTTTGTGCCATAGTTGCATGCTCATTGGTACCATAGTTACCTAGTTAATTTTAGTAAAAAAATGGCCGTTTGTGCCAAAAAAATGGTCACTTGTGCCAAAAGAATGGTCGTTTGTGCCAAAAAAATGGTCACATGTGCCAAAAAAATGGCCATTTTGACCGCGTTACCGACAGACAGACAGACAGACAGACACAGGTGAATTTCGGTTTCTAGACCCTAGCCTTTCAGTCTAGGGAATATTAAACAGTAATTTATTTCCTCTATCTATTTTATTTTTTTTAGTTAAAAAACTAGAAAAATAAGATCAAAATAAATTCTAAAAATGTATTATATGAATGTTAAAAAGAGACGGAAAATATGTGGTTAATTACAAAATATTTCTTTACGTCTTTTTGTGAAGTTACCATTCAAAAATGTTCCACAATGATAAATGATATTGTTGAAAATATTCTCTTCTAAGTGTTTATAGTTTATCTAATATCATTGATGTCATTGTCAATTTCTAAAAATAAAAATTTCGACCTTCTTCTCCTCAATAATTAATTATAGTAATTAAAAATAGAATGCAATACTTTTTGTTTCTCCTAAAGAAGATTAAGTCATTTTTCATTCACGAACAGCAGATATCTATCCATACGAGCATATCAAGCTATAAAACAAATTGGATATGCATGACATTTTCACTTTTCTTTTTGGTTACTATAATCTTTTATGTAATTCGAATAAGCATTGTGAAATCCACCAGTTTGAAATATTTTCAACTATTTTTCCAGCAATCAAATCTGCTTTTTTTATTTCGAACCCAATGTGATAAGTTATGTATAATTAACTAAAAGAAACTTTGTCGTAGAATACATTAGAGAATGAGAATAATAAATAGACATAATCTAGAATATTTATAAAAAGAATGTCTCATAATATTGAAGAAATAAATCGGGTCTTAATGTAGACGAATGGGGATATGATTAAAAACTCACAGTCGCACTCACCAATACAAGTTTATTCTATATCAAAAATATATTCACTGTTATTCGCCGTTTTGGACAAATTTAATGAAAGGAATTTCTACAAAAGTTCGGTTGTATTGCAGGTGTTGGTTTGTATATGGGCTTTCGATGAACTCGTCGCAATGTCTTGTAGAGTGGAGACTCAGTAGGTTTGGGAATGTATCCTGAAATACTACGACCAAATTCATATGCCGCATATACGTTTTGAATCCATTTGGTGACTTGATTCTCAACAGCTTCATTCAACTTTGTAACCAAATGTTCACATATTTCTGCAACAAAGCTTGATGGGTGATTGAATTTCTCTAATAACAGCTCGTATGTTAATGCTTCTGTCTGCTTTCTCTCGAATGTAAAAGAAGACAGTGACAGCAAAGGCCAATGGCGCCAGTGATTATTTGTATCCTCTGTCCTCGGCTCCACTAGAAATTCCTGTATCTCATTAATTAATCGGTTATACTCCTTTTCTAATTTTGGCTTCACATGAGATAAACCGCCCATGATCAGATGTTGTATTTCTTGTTTTGACACTTCATTTGCAAGTAAATCCCAAATCATTCGTTGTGTTATAATTTTGCGAGCAATGCGTCGTTTTTTTCTGGCCTCTCGTCTCTCAAATGAACCAAAATACTCAAACCAATCAGAAAACAGTGGAAATTGGAGACTGTCATCTTCAGACTTATCCAATGATTGGGAAGAAAAAGGAGCTTCACGCACATCATGTCGCACACAATGACATATTTGATTTTGCAGCCGATCATAGATAATTTCCAGTAAAGCTTTGTACAATGGTTCCAGAAGTTTTCGTTCAGTAATTTCTCGTTTTGGGGGGAAAAGATCATTGTCTTCGTCATCCGAAAGACGATAGAAACTGAGATCAAAATCGAACCATGAGAAAGAATAAGAATAAGATAACTGGTTGGAGAGATGAGTGTCAATCAGCGATGTTAAGTTTGTCTCTTCTGCAAGCTTCGAACCTAAAAATGGATCACTCGACTTTAATCGATTCATTTGTACATATTCTTTTTGAATACTTCGAAGTCTACTCAAACGTTTGATCAAACATGGCTTGAATAAACTAAAATAGTGCTCAGCCACCTTGTATATATGATGACGGATAATTTGATCAAATAATCTATGAGCACTTATGATGAACATCACGTACCAATAGATTCGATCATGCACTTTGTTATCAGTCACATCATACGCTTCTCTAATGAGACCAATGGCAAATCGAACAGCCATGTCGTTCATTTGTGATGATCGAATTATTTGGGTGTATGAATTAGTTAGAGGATTATAGACATTAATATCGAAAAAAGATGAATCTACTTCATCCAAAGATGAGTCTGAGTCATTGAGGAGACCAAGATAATCCATGAGAACAATTGTTGACACTGCATCATAGTCTTCAGGTAGACGAAGAAAAATATCACGTGTGGAATGAAATGGAAACCAATCTAAAATGAAACGAAACTGCTTGATGTCAATATTTGGATGAATGACGAAATGTCCTTGATCATCACGTGCAGCTTCAAAGAAATCACCAGAAGAGACAAATGCAGTTAGATAAGGTATTTTATTGATTTGTTCTCCAGTCAGCGTTAGTACATGGCCAGAGCCGAAACGAAATATCTTGTGTGATTTTGGTAATAGTTTGTTATCGACATTCATTACACTTGTCGATGAAAATCTTCAGAACCTATATTTACTGTGCGATTAAAAATATACACTTTCTACTTCCGACGTGCAATTTGGAAATTTCTAGCTGTTAAACTTCATCGACTGATTCATCACTTAATTTGCCACAACGCATCTCAATGAGTCATGACATGAATAGTGAAATGCACTATCTTAATTTTATGAAATGCAAGACAATAAACGTGCGACAGAAATACTGTAAAACGAATTTTCTGTTTCAAACTTCGTTTTTATTCTTTCAATAAAATTAGTTTTACAAAGTTGGGGGCGCCACACTACAGTGTTAATCCAATGTAAGATATATAAGCTTATGTTAATATGACATATTGTCGACGCCTGCATTTTTAATGAATGAGTGTACCCAGCAAAACAACAGATACGGTACCCTAATTAAAAAAATATTTATACACTGTTTTACACGTTGTCAAAAAAGGTAGCGTGTACGCTCGACACACTGAATTTTTCTTTTACACTTTGATTTTTCAAGTACTTCTGTGCTAGTGCTGTACGTACAAAAATTAAATTTATATACCCATGGAAGGCAAAAGTTACACACTGTATTTTGAATAAATCGTTACTATAACTGCATATTTAAAAAAAACTGATATCATATTTGGAAAGCATGTAAAAATTCTCTACTACCCTGTATATTTTTATCTTACTTTTCGCTTTTGAATGATCATCATAACTTTGAGATAATTAAAACAACCTCATATGTGGATTTCCAGGTACTAGGACAATTCATTGCAATGGCATAAGCCAATCCAAATTAGTATCTCTTTTTTCAACAATGAAACAACTTTTTCAATTAAGTTTGAAATATGCAACTCAATGACCATAAAAATTATTAACAATATTACTAATGACCAAATTTGGATTTTTGATCTCGAACAGTACAACAGCCTTTTTGTGCTGGTAAAAATTTAGTTTGTTCGAGCTATACAAGTAATGAAGTTTTTCCAATACCAGTGGAAGTAGTAATGCGCATTTTTTTAAATTTCTGTTGCAGCTAGTGATGGACCGTAACATCTTCGTCTATCGTCAATGACAAATATCTTTAAAGCGAACGAAAGAAAGAAAAAAAAAGCACGACGTTATGACGTCGACTGTTTTCTGTTCTCACAACTGTACGTAAATTGATATATATGTTCTGGGTGTGGGTGTGATGTACTTCCTCTATTCACACTCACACCCACACCCACACCCACACCCATACTTTATTTCAGTTTTTCGCTTTACCTCTTTATGGCATATTTATTTATTCTAGATTAATTAATATTACGAACATCCATGCCTCGCTAGCTTTTTAAACAACTTCGATACCTTCACCTTATCTAAGAGCTACTAATTCTAGAAATGATTACATTTCTCTATGAATAGTGTATATGAAGAAAGTAAATTTGACAAAATAATTTTATATTGCTCCTCATCGGTTTTCTTCAAATTCAACTTGACATCGCATTCAAAAAATGTTGCAAACATTTTAAAACCTTTTTTAAAAGATATTAATTCCTCGTAGATTAACCAAAGCATCTAAGGAAGATAGCTAGACGTAAGACGCTTCTCTCATTGGTAAAGATCATCAAATCAACCATCTCGAATTAGATCAAACGGTTTTACACTATATGTCTTGCTTTTTACAGTATATCTATTTGTTTCTTCTTTCTCATTGTATTCAACAATGAAGTGTTTCTTTTCTATCGTATTGCTAGTGGTGACTGTGGTTGTTTATACTGCGAAAAGTGAAGACCAAACAATGATATCTGAAAAATATCCACTTGACGGAGATTTCATCAAGATTCAAGCATCTGCACACATCGAATTCGAATTAGCACGCGTCAATAGTGAACCAAGTGTCATTATCGAAACGGAAGAATGGGTGCATACACGTCGTCTTATAACTGTTTCAACAAGACCGAATGATTGTTTGTATTCATGATTTGAAGAATATTTTCTGCTTTTATTCATAACTTCTCATCCCCCTTTCTGAATATCAAGTAGAAACACTTTGTATATGCAAAGATCAAACGAACTTTTTGAATATACTCTATATGAACAAAGAGAAACATTGATTTAATAGATCTTTGAGAAGATTTGCTAGTCCAGTTTCATCTTAATGTATTACAAGCAAAGAAAAAAGAAATACATTAATGTGAACATAATCTCTTTGTTTAACTAAGTAAAAAACATCGAGAAAGTGATCATTATCATGAATCCTGGTCAAAAACGAAGAAATTTGAATTGTTTTAGTTTTGTTTGATAGGTCTTGATATCAAATTAGTGAGCGGCATCAATTATCCAGCAATCAAAGTATATGTTAGTTACCGAACACCTCTGGTTGATTTGGCAATAGATGGAACATCATCGATGAGATCAAAAAACGTCCTTGTTAGTAATCCTTCGTCGCTTTTGAATATTGCACATTCTGGAACTGGCACCATAATATTCGAATTTCAACACGACTCTAATATTAATGTTGCCATATTGGGTACAGGTCAATTCATTTTATCTGGTCGAGTTCGAGGGAATGGACGATTGAGTGTCTCAGGCACTCCTCGTTTGGATGCACTGGCATGTCCAATGAAAATTGTGACTATTGAAATGTCTGGAACTGGATTGGCTCGTGTTTATGGTGTAGAAGGAGTTCATATCACTATGAGCGGAGTTGGTACCATTTGCTATCGAGGACCTTTGCTCGGTCAAATAACAAGTGGTCTTGGTTGGATCAGCGAGTGTATTCTTGAACAGACGTCTGAAAAACCTCTACATTCATCATCGAAAAGTGACAAAATCATGGATAGAAATCAACGATTAATGGTGATTCTTGCTATTACAGTTTTCTTTCTCTTCTTCTAACCTATCATTAATTGACACCATTGTCTTTCTTTTCAATTCATAATGCATGACCCTATAAAGTATGCCTTTCCCGCAAGAAAATCTTCTTGCACTGATTTGGATAAGATGTGGGGGAGGGGATGGATGAATAGAGTAATTACACCCACACCCACTTTTTCTTTTTGTATATTAAATGTATAATGGATTAGTTAGACATTTACAGCGGAGAAGTATGAGGAAATACAGAGAATTGTTTTTGATAATGTGTCGATTTATGATAATTTTGCCAAGTATTGCACACAGCGTGAAAGCACGAGGACATTGAATAAATGTCATCATCATTGATTTTAGATATTATTTCTGTTTTTTATGAGGAAACAACCAAATGCTGAAGAAAAATATGTTTCGAGAGGATCGTAAGAATCATTAAGGCATGATTTTAATTCTTCGCTCATTCATTAAACGTAATATAATTGGAAGACCATGTTACAAAAGTTTGTCAATCTTATTGGCCACTGAAAATAGTCGCATGCTCGCAACAACTCTCAACCAATGTAATGGTTCTAAGGATCCATTAGAAATTCAAGCTTGTCCTATTTTTTCAGAAAATAGAGTATGGGTGTGGGTTAGGGTCATGTTCTGAATTCATCCTACACCCTTCTACGAATTGCGTTATGAAAAAAGTTTCAGCCATTTCTTCAGAAAAATATTGATATTTTGTTGTCTAACTAATTATATTCAAAATACAGATCTATTTCAATTAGTTTAGAGCATTTTTCCTACGGAGAAGGTAACAATAGTTATGAACAGATAGATTGAATTAAATAATTTCGTCGATGAGTTTTCAATCCCAGTCAAACTTGCATTCCAGATACCTTTTCTCAATATAGCTTCATCATCATCTTCTGGCCATGGTGGCATTGTAATTGCTACTGCCACTAGACTTTTTCGTCCAATTGTACGAAATTGAAATTGTGTTCCAACTGGAATGGTAATACATATGTTAGCATCAACTGTTACAATTTCTTCTCTCTCATTCTGATTGCGCCAAAATTCACCTTCACCAGATAAAAAATACCATATTTCATAAACAGTTCGATGTTCAACAGCCTGTGATGTCATTCCAGCAGGAAGTTCAAATTGTGCCATACTACCACCAACTGTTGTCAATAAAGTACGAACCAATGAACCGTCAGGTGCAACAACATCAGGATTAATAGGTAAACGTTTAGTTTGAAATGGAGGAATAATAAATGTTTGATTTTTTGATGTAGAAGTTTCTATTGTCGGTGATGATTCTGTTGTATAAATCATTATAGTTGAATCTAAAGAAAGATGAATGTAGAATCAATATTATTAGAAGAATTTACTAAGTTTATCCAATATTGTAGGAATATGATCATCAGTAATTATCGTATGAACTAAAAATAACGTCATTTATGATCGATACTAACATTATAGTAGGACTTACTCGAAGCCTTTCGATATTGATTGACTATAGCAGAATTGAATGTAATAAATGAATCACTATTAGTACTTTGTACTAGTCTTTGACTGGTGAGTTGGAGATTGCAGAAGATATTGAAAATAATAAAATCAATAATATCGATGAACATAGTGTCATATACAATAATCTATAATAAACGAAAAGAAAACAATCAGTTATGGTATTTAACTTTTATTGAAAGTAAAAAAAAGAGAAAATAAAAACTTTTTAAAAATTATTCTCATAATTTTTTTATTATGTTTGCACAATAAAATATAGATAATTTGAAAAAAAGAGTTTCATCATAAGATGGTTAGTCTTGATGATGAATAAGTGACTAATATAGATAATAAATTGGTTTAAATGGACCATCGGGATGTACATCTATATATGCTGATTGAGTTGGTGTCAATTTATCCAATTTGATGCCTAAATATTCCAAATGTGCCATGGCTACCTCTTCATCTAACTAAAACTCAAAAGAATTTTTATCAAAAAGGAAACTTATTTTAATGAAAGAATATTTACCGTTTTTGGAAGAATATGAATTCCAATTGGATATTGTCCTTTCTTTGTAAATAATTCAATTTGTGCCAAGATTTGATTTGAAAATGAATTACTCATAACAAAACTTGGATTACCATGAGCACAAGCTAAAAAAAATATATAAATAATTCAATATTGAATTCTTATTTTTATTTTAATATTACTTACAAAGATTGACTACACGTCCATCAGCAGGTAAAATTATAGCACGACCATTTGATAAATGATAAATATCAACCTATAACAATACAAACAAATAAATTACAAATTTCTTTTAATTGAATTGGAATATACTTGTGGTTTAACATTTTCAATTTTGGTTGCATTGGCTTTTAACCATACAACATCAATTTCAGTTTGACCCGAACCAATATTACATAAAATAGCCATATCACGCATTTCCATTATATGTTCACCGCGAATTAATTCAGTTGAGCCAGTAGCTGTGACGAATATGTGACCAATTTTACATGCTTCAGCTATCGTTGTCACTTGATATCCTAGAAAAATACATCATTACTTATTACAATCCATAAGGAGAAATATATAGGATGTCTGGAAAGTCATTAGAGTTAGGAAAATTTGAATATCTCCATTACAACTCGACCAAATGAGTTCATTTTTTTTAACCAAGGGTAGAGGCACGTTCACACTTTAAATCCATACAGACAAAGGATATTGAGAATCTTTGTTAAGTATCACTATTGTTCTCAACAAGAAAATTTTACTTTTTCACAGTGGATTTGAAGTGTGAACATGCCTCTATCCTTGGCAAAAAAAATGAGCTCGTTTGGTCGAACCGTAATGAAGATATTCAAGTTTTCCTAACTCTAATGACTTTACGAACATCCTGTATATTGCTTACCATCCATTGCAGCTTGTAAAGCACAAATTGGATCGACTTCAGTAATAATCACTTTTGCACCATGACCACTCAATGTTTTTGCACATCCTTTTCCAACATTACCATATCCAATAATTACTACTATTTTTCCTCCAATCATGGTATCGGTCGCTCGTTTAATACCATCAACGAGACTTTCACCACATCCATAATTATTATCAAATTTTGATTTTGTTACACTATCATTAACATTAATGACTGGAACGTTTAATTGTTTATTTTTTAATAATTTACGTAATTTTGTTATACCAGCTGTTGTTTCTTCACTACAACCATGAATAACATTTGTTAAATGTGGATATTTTTCATGTACAACTCGTGTTAATTGACACCCATCATCTAAGATTGCATTCAATGGTTCACCATCAGCAAAATAAATTGTCTAAAGGATAAATGAGAAGATCAAATATTTTTAGTTTTATACTATAAAATAGAGAAGGACAAAAAATAATTTACCTGATCTATACACCATAATTTTTCTTCTTCTGTTTCTCCTTTCCAAGCAAAAATAGATATACCAGCTTTAACTAATGCAGCTGCAATCTGATCTTGTGTTGATAATGGATTACAACAACTCCATCGAATCTATAAAATAAGAATTATCTATATATAAGAACATCAAATAAGATAAAAAGATGACTTACTTCAGCACCTAATTCACGAAATGTTTCAATCATTACTCCTGTTTGTGCTGTCACATGTAAACATCCAGCAAGACGAACACCTTTCAATGGTTTTGTAGAACCATATATTTTTCGTAATCGCATTACTCCTGCCATTTCAACTTCAGCCATTGATAAAGCTTTTCTACCTGCTTCTGCTAGATTAATATTAGCAATTTTGTACGGAAGCCTTTCCATTTTGCCAGTAAAAGATAGAGGTTCTTTTGCTTCCTCAATTGAAAAGCTTCGTTTTATATCATCTATATCACCACCAAACAAATAATATTTTCTTATAAAATTATATTTTTCGTTAGACTTACCAACACTTTGTTCGCTGAATTGTCGACAAAAACGTCTTCCTGGAGTCGGCGGAATTGATATTAATGATGTTTGTATATTTTTCGATTCATCTTCTTCTTGTATTTGTTCTTGATATAAGCTATCACTTCGATCGAAAGTCGATTTATTTTGTATTTCTAGAAATTCACAAAATAATCTTTGATTTTTCTCAATAGACAGATGAGAACAAACCTGAAAAATATGATCGACCAGCTGTACCCATGTGTGAATTGATAAATAATAACTAAATGTATTGTAATAATAAATAGCTTGTGTTGGCTTATGACTTCTCTTGATTCTTTTTGTATAATGTAGAAATTCTGAAAATTTATCCGTCCTTTTATAGGTATATTGGTATTTGAGTTGGATAAAATACTAGACCTCTACTGATATCAGATGAATTAGGACGTGACATACTCTTGTCATATATCATACTCAATCAATAATAACTATAAAACATGTTTCAAGGATTTATTTTATTGCTTAATCCCTATCTTTTATGTTATTAATCCATCAAATTTCTTACATTTAACATAGAAAGGGAGTACGTCATTGTCTATTCTGTAATCAAAAAGTAACACGTACACATATCACAATACGGAGAGAAATGTTCGTAGAAAAGACAACAATATTAATAAATATATTCGATGAAAACAGATAAAGATGAAAGTCCACGATCATTAAAATCGTCAAATATAAGGTCAATGATTTGATATTTTGTTTTTTAAAATAAAATCGTGATATACTATTTAGACAATATATCTTTCGACAAATTTCAATTCAAATTCGAAGTACCTTTTTTCTTTTTTGAGTTATAAAATGGAAATGATTGTTACAACAACAACATCTATGAAAAAGAAAAATTCTCATTTAATTCGAAAATGGTCTGGTGTTATATGGCTTTTGATTGAAGTGAATTTATTTGGTGGTACAATATTTGGATTTTCAGCTTTATTTGAAATTTTACCTCAATATAATATTTATGGTGATAGAAATAATTGTTCATCATCATCATCAACAGAAAGTGACGAATCGTCTTGTAGAAGATATCAAACACGACATTATCAAGTATGTCCATATATGTCACATCAATTATATTTTTGATCTATGTATTTTTTTTTATTGTAATTTTAGAATGCATTAACATTAGGTATTATTTTATTTGAAATTCCATCATTAATTATTGGTCCATTGATCGATCGATTTGGATGTCGATTTGTTAAATTAATTTCAATGTAAGTATTTATCTATTTCTCTTGTTTTTGTTTTTTGTTTTTTGTTATATTCTATTTTCTTTAGAATTCTTCATATTATCGGATGGTTAGCATTAGCATTCATTGCACCTGGTAAGTGTGTATATTGTTTGTAGAAATATTTTTTTGTTTTTGTTTTTGTTTTTCTAGGACGAGATTCATTGTTATATGTTCACACAGCCTTCTCATCCTTGAGTGGTAGTATGATATTATTAACAGCTTATTCATCAAGTGGTTATTTTACAAAATCAAGAGCATTTGTATCGGCTTTGTTTGCTGGATCGTGTACATCAGCTACAATGTGGTATTCAATATTTCAAGTATGTTGTAGCTGCTTTTCATTCAAGAAGAGAAAATTGAATTTGATTCAATAAGTTTTTGTATCTATTTATTCTAGGTTTTAATTGATGCAAGAAAGATTACATTACAACAACTATCATACATATGGTTGTCATTTGGTGTATTATTGTTAATTAGTTCATTTCTATATGTTGATTGGACATTCCCTATTTTAAATTTACCTTATCAATTTGATACAAAATTAGAAGAGAAAAAAGTATCTTCAATTAATGTTAAAAGTAAATCAATTAATGAAATAGATAAAATGAAATGGTATATACGAATTTTAAAACGAAAAGGTGTTTGGTATTATTTAACAAGTCCATTGTATATATTGGTGGTATTATTTTTAAGTGTTCTATTACTACCAGGAATATTTCTTTCTGTAACATGGTATCCATGGGTATATTATATTACAAAACAAGATAAAATATTGAGTAAGTTATCAGTTCTTCTATTACATGATTATCTAATATCTGATATTCCCTTGACTGTAGGGAGGGTCATATGAAAAAAAAATAGTTTGTGTGTGTTTGTGTCAGGGTCAAAAGAACATCAGGTTCAAAAGAACATCAGGGTCAAAAGAACATCAGGGTCAAAAGAACATCAGAGTCAAAAAAACATCCGCTTCTGCATAAAACTTGACCAAACGGTAATCGAGGGTGGGGAATTCGAATCTGAGGTTACTTTTAACTATTTATTAACTAATTACTAACTGATTATTAATTAATTATTAATTATTAATATTTTGTGTAAAACTTGACCAAAAGGTAAACGAGGTCGGGCGATTCGAATCTGAGATTTGTTTTAATTAATTATTAACTAAGTATTAATTAATTACTGATTACTCATTAATTATTAATGTTTTGCATAAAACTTGGCAGAAGGTAAACGAGGTCGGGGAATCCGAATCTGAAGCTAGTTTCTCAACATTTTGAATTGAGTTTTTTGGGTGAAGGAAAGAGTTTTTTGAGAAAATAGCTATGTTTTATAAAGGTTGACGAAAGTAAATCGGAGTCGAGGAATCTGAATCTGAAGTTAGTTTCTCAACATTTTAAATTGAGTCCTTTGGGTTAAGTGGAAAAATTTTTTTCAGAAAATAATGGTATTTCCTCGAGGTTACGAAGATTTATATGAAATAAAATAAATTTTTGTCTGTTTTGGTCTAAGTGAATGATGAAACGTCATTAAAAAAATCTTGGCTATGTATTTGGTGGTTGTTAACTAATTATTAATTAATTATTAACTAATCATTAACTATTAGTGTTTTACATAAAACTTGATCAAAAGGTAATCGGGGGCTGGGAATTGGAATCTGTGGTTAGTTGTAACTAATTATTAAATAATTATTAACTACTCGTTAATTATTAGTGTTTTCCATAAAACTTTAACAATAGATAATCGAGGTCGGAGAATCCGAATCTCAAGGCAGTTTTGGAAATTTATAGTTGAGTTCTTTTGAGCTGAAGGGAAAAATTTTTTGAGAACATAAAATTTCCTCGCGTGTGGCTAGAGTTATATGAAATAAAATAAATTTTCGTCTGTTTTTTGACAGAGTGAAAGGTGAAACGTCATAAGAACGTTGACGAAGTGTTTGGTGCTTCTGCTTTTGATATGACTTCCAACCAACTCGATTTTTCAGACGGAAAATTCAGTCAATCCGACGTATGTGATAAGTTTCCTCTTAATCAGCTGTTTCATAACTGGGTTTCCATGAATGAGGCTTGTTTTTTAGCTGAGTCTCTGATTGGTGATGCCTTGTGTAGGACTACTCTAGTTAGTCAGACATTTTGGATCTGGAATTGGAGAAAATATGACTTCGTTGTTTGTAGTTAAAGAGGTGTAGTTTTCTTGACAATACTGGCAGGATTTAAGATATATGCTGATCGAAATTTTCGTCTAATAGCGGAGAAAGAAGGACATGATGGTGAGATATTCAACTCTTTTATTTTATATTTTTGTTAGAATCATGGTAAATATGGTTATAGCTGTTTTATAAAAGCTTGTAAGTCTGACAGTTTCCTAGGTAAGACCAATCTGGCATTTGATAGGGTTTCAGTGAAAAGATTTATGTCAGGATAAAGTAAGATCAAAGGTGGCAGCAGCTAGTCGCGAGTGGCGCCCCAAAGGGGCGCCGACGAGTGTCTAGCTGCTGCACTAGGTTATCTGCAGAAATGCAAATTCAAAGTATTGAAATTCATTGAATAATCGTCAATAGTCAAGGTTCAATGGGTCTGATTAAGCAATATCAGATGCAAAAACCTGAAAAAAACTATGTCAAGTCAAAGATGTGAAAAGGCTTTTTGTTTAGACACAATAGCTAAATAATTCATCGGACGAAAAATATTACCCGAAGTATTTATATTTGCTGTATCAGCAGTGGACATCAATGAAATAAACTAGTTTCTCTTGGTATATGCTTTTCATTGTACTAATTCAAGTATCTGCATGTATACTGATATATTTAAATTACCTGTCTAGTAAACAGTATCGTTAATTCACGCGTTAGTAAGTGAATGCATTTATAGTAGAAATTTTAAAGAGTATGCCACGTTTTCACAAAATCGTCGCAAACGTTTTTTGTTTTATTGCCTCTCAGCAAACGGAATAAAACCCCTTTTTGTTCGGATACATGTGGGTATTCCCGTCATAGTTTAGTTCCTTAGATTTTTATTAGGCAGCAGTGTGAGGGTGTCAAATTAATTGGGTGTATTCGTGAGAAAAACGATTATCAGAATCCACATACCATTGTGCACAACGCGATTGATGCTAATACCAACGTACAAACACCTACTCACTCTTTTGAAGTATTGGCTACTAGCTGTGTTGAAGACTGTAAAGCACTGTAAAATATGAAAGGACCGAAAATACAGTCGAGGGTCAAGCGAGTCACTCGGACGAGCGTTACTTGTTTATTTTCTTGTAGCTAATAAATATACACTTGCATATAACTTATCAACCATTGCTGCTATTATTATTTGTCCAATAAACGGTTTTCTACTTGGATTTAAAGCTGATAGAAGTAAAATGTGAATTTTTTTTTGCTTTACAATTAAAACTTTGATTGTCTTTATGTTCAGGTAGAAAAAACAAATTATTTAATATTTCATTAATGCAAACTATATCATGGCTTCTCAACATTGTCGCATGTATTGTATGTATGTTTGTTCGAACAAGTATGATTATTCCAGCATTGGTAATTAATTGTATTGGACGAGCAACAATTGTGGGTGGAAGTCAAGCAGTGGTAGCAACTTTGTAAATAGTTATCATTGTCAGAAATAAATTCTTACATTTCTTTACTTCTATTTCAGCTTTCCATCTGAATATATTGGTACATTAAGTGGTGTAATGTGGACATTAGTTGGTGTTATTGCTACAGTTCAATATGGTTTAGTTCAATTAACGGATGATATAACTCGTTCATGGAGAGTAAGTCGTTATTATACTCTTTATTAGTATTTTAGAAAAAAGATTTCTTTTATTTTCAGGCATGGGTGATTGTATTATCACTTGTGATATTAATGTCATGTCATTTAATTCAATTATGGTGGAAATACATGAAAGAATTGAGAAATAAATCGGCAACAATGATTGAAGATAAGATTACAACAAAATTTTGAAAAGACAAAGCTTTTTGTTTTTTACTTTAGTTGATAGTAAAGCTTTTTTTTTGCTTTAAAATAAAATTAAAATTTCAGTTGTTTTATTTCAATTAATATCTTCTATATTCTATTGTCAAAGAAGAATGATCGATTCTGTGTCTCAGCCGATAACACTCATTTTTGGTGTGGGTTTGGATATGCGCGAACAGAACTACCATACTCGCACCCACACCCAGGTTGACATCACACACTCATACCCCATCCTTTGTTTTGAAAAGAAAAAGCCAATACTTAGGTCATATTAAGAGAAATGACAAAGATCAACTATTACAATTAATATTAGAAGGTGAAATCATCGGTAAAAGAAGATCAAGTCGAAGAACGACATCGTGTTTAAAAAACATACCACAATGAACTAAAACCTCAGCTGGAAAACTGCTCCACAGTACATTAGATCAAAATGCCTTTAGAAAACTGGTCGCAAACACTTAGCAATGAATATGCACACGAAGAAGAAGAAGAAGAAGAAGAAGAAGAAGAGGAATTTAGAGTCATGTTTTCGTATGAAGACAACTATTATTTTTCACATTGATCTCATTAGTTAATTATAAATCAAGATCATGTACAAGGACATCAATTGAAAAATTTTGCAATATAAACATCATTAACACATTTTAATGATGTTGCCTCATTTATGCTGTCATAATACATAGTTATTTGTTCTCTTTGAAATAATATTCTCACATACGATAGTAAGAGAAATAATTGTATGATATTAAAGTAAGATGACTTGCAAAACTGTGCTAAATAAATAGTTATTATGGATTTGATCTTTTCTTTGTATTGTAGAGTGTACGAACAAATCTACATTAGTAATATTGAAAGTAATTGTTTGACATTTCAGATAAGAGAATAAAATAAAATCTAAACAGAATAATAAAAAGAATTCTCCGATCAGAAAAGATCTCTTGGGACACTTCGTGTGAACTCAATGATATTCAACATACTGATATATATCACTCATTTAGAAAGATAAGAGAAACATAATCTCATCTCTGTATGAATAATGAGTCAACACTTGATGAGCTTTATATGATTGTTGTACATGTTTGAATTCATAGAAAAGAAGACATGATTTCGATAGGAAAAGCCTCATTAATATTAAAAAGTAAAGTATTCATTGCTATATTAAAATATTAGATTGCTGTGTTTACCGAATACAATTTATCCAACACGTATATACTCAATAATTATTTCTTCAGAATCCGAAAAACAATACTGTCATTTTTGACTTAAATCTACGTGCTAATCTATTACTGTTTATAGCATTTGCCAGTTCAGTTGCCTTGAACATTAATACAATATCCATTTTTAACTTATTAGAAAGTCTTAATATTGAGAGTTTCTTACATTAGAAAGAGTGTGACAATCTTGTCAATAAGGGTGTTGGTGTGGATGTGGATGTGGGTATGTGTGTATAGAGTTACCACGATAACCTAATAGATTATTTCTGATGTTTCTAAACTCAACTTTATCAAGTGGCCTCAGTACCAGTTTGAAATGATCTATATGAATATACAAATCATAACAAAATACCTAAGAATTCTAGGGTGTGGGTGTAGGTGGGTGGTGTGGGTGTGTGGGTGTGTGGGTGTGGGTGTGGGTGGGTGTGTGGGTGTGCGTGGGGTGTGGGGTGTGGGTGTGGGTGTGGGTGGGGTGTGGGTGTGGATGTGAATTTAATTTTTAAGCGAATTAACAATGATGTAAATAAATAGGACAAAGACCAAATAAATAAATAAACAAATAAATAAGTAGATGAATAGATATATGAATAAATAGATAAATTTTGTTTTTTATTATTATTTCTTAATTTATTTTAGTTTTTTTGTATTTTTAGTTTTTGAAATTGTTTTTTAGTGTTTTTTATATATATTCGTAGAAATAAAAATGAAATATTCTAGTTTTGTATGAGTTGGAAAAAGAATAACAAAAATGAGCACCCTTTTATAAATGTTTTTTAAGAATGAAAGTGAATCTTTATTTTCTTTTACTGAATTAAGTGTAGTAATAGAAATCAAATTGGGCGATAGACAATAAATATTGAGTAAATAATTTGAGTGAAAAAAGAATTGAGAAAATTTTATTGAATAAGTTCAAATGGATTTGTTTTCATTAAATGATTTTATTGATTTGGAGCAAGAAGGAAAATTGTAGATTAAATTTATTAGAGATGAATTTTATAGATTGAGTGAAATAAATAAGTTTATTTTTGTTTTTGTTTTGTGAAATATGAAAAAAGATTTTTTATATAAGTTTTGGTATGAAATAAGAAAAATTTGATTTAATTTTTAAGTGAAATTTGTTTAAGGAAAATGAAAAAAGTAAGAAAATATTTTTTGGTAAGAAAGAAAAAATGGTAAGTGAATAAATATTTGAATAAATATTTGAACGAGAGTTTTTTAAACTATATAAGTTTTTTAGTGTTTTTTGAATAATTTTATTTAAGTTTAACAAAAAGATAATACGATACGTGAATTGATTAAGCTTGTAAGGCAACGCGTTTCGAATGTTCGTCAGGCTGTGAATGACTATCTAATCCTCTTTCCTTTCCTTTTATCCTACTCTCGTTCCTTTCTTCTACTCTCGTCTAATGGGAATTGTTTCTTTCTTCTATTCTCGTCCAATAGGAATTCTTTCTGTTCTTAATTGGGGCCACTATTCTCATTGGAGGGGGATAGATGTCGTTCTCTTTCTTTTATTTCTATCTATTCTTAGTCCATTCTTAGTCTCTTCTATCTCGCAAGGCAATCTCGATGGTGTGGGTGCCAAGGAGGGACTTACTCAATTGGAAAAAATACTCTCAACTTATTCTCAAGGGAAGGAACCTTCTCAACTGACCACTCAACCCTATCACAATGTGAAATTTAATACTTATACAAAAAACTATGAAAAACAACAAAACAATAAAACGAAAAACAGGTCAACAAGAAATTATAAAACATACAAGAGCGAAAGACTGAAAAACAATAGTGGGCCAGGTCCTTCGTTCTTGTCGTCGATATTGTTGACGTAACTATAATAGAAAACAGAAAAGCAAGCGGGTGAGGGGGCCTCTATTCCTCTATCTCAATCCTATTCTAAATTCTTAACGAATGCCTTAATCGCTGCGTTAGGGGGTTTCTTATGAACTAATATACTCTTCAGATTATCCGTTAACTTATGGGCGAAGACTACTGGGATGTCACTAAGTGGGGTTCCTTCAAAAATTTCTTCCCAAATTTGGTGGAATCTTGAACCGAAACGAGCTAAACTAGGGGTATATGTAAGGTGCAACATAATGTCTTTACTAAAGTTAATCCCGGGCTTATCCTTTTTATTCCATCCCTCATCTAAGACCTTATCTCTATACTCATTATGTCTCTCGCTAAGTAGTAATTTTTTATCCTTCTCTCCTGTTAAGGTTTCAAAAAGTCTCTTAAAATGTTTCTCTATAAAATTTGGGGGGGGGGGGGGTACTTATTCAAAAGAAGGGTAATTCTAACCTTTTCTATCTCTTCTTCTAAACCTTCTCTATGGGAACATATCTTAACTACTCTCAAAAGTGCTGAGAAGGGGATGTTCTTCATTACGTGGGGTGAGTGTGCTGAGTTAAATGGTAAAAGATAGGACAGGGCTGCTAACTTTCTATAGACCTTAGTTCTAAAGTTAGGACTTTCTAGTCGTACCCTTACATCTAAATAATCTACCTGTGGGCCTGTCTCGAATGTTAAACCTATATTTCTATCTTTCTTACCTAATTCTGTTAATATCCTATCCATCTCTTCTCTACTCTTCTTAGTGGTTATAAAAATATCGTCCCTAAATCTAAAGTATAATTCTCCCTCACTATTCTGCTGGTCCTTAAACTGCTTTTCCCACTTTCTCATATAAACATCCGCTAAGACTTGGGTACATTCTGAGCCCTTGGGTCCTCCTCTTATCTGCTTATAATACTTAACTTTCTCTCCGGGTAACTGAAGGGCAAAATACGCATTTTCTAAGACGTGTCTAAATAAGGTCCTAACTGTGTTAATGGGTATTTCTCCATTTATCTTATTTATCTTATTCTCACCTAACATCTCTGCAAATGGCTAAGATTGATTCTTGTTGGGGGATCATTGTATATAAACCTGTTATATCAAATGTATATACAAGGGTCTGGTCTGTTGTTCCATGTTTTTTCAATTCTTTTATAAATTCTATACTATTTCTCAAACTATATGGGGTTAATTTATCAAAAATGGGGCGAATAATTGGATCAAGAAAGGCCGAGATTTTTTGTGTTGGTGATTTCATCCCAGAAACAATTGGTCTAAGTGGTTCTCCTGCCTTATGGTCTTTTGGGTTATAATAAAGATGGGGTAACTCGGCATCTATTAGATTTGGTTTCAATTTCTCAAAATATTTCCCGGGTAATAACTTCCTATTGACTAAGTCTCTTAACAACTGCTCGGTCTTTTATATCATACTATCTAATGGGGATTCTTCTATCTCTTGGTAAGCATCTGTCTTTCTCATATAGGCTATAGACTTCTCTATATATGTCTCAGGCTTATCTACGTGGAATACTTTTGATTTATCTGTTTGTCTGAAAATTACCTTTTCCTGTTTTTGTTCCTTTTGAAAGTGTTCTAAGGCCTTTTCTATTATTGGGTCCTGTCTTTTTCCTTGGTTTGTTCTATCTCTTAATTCTTCTTCTAATCGGGTGGTGAATTTCTCAACTATAGCAGGGTCTCTACCTATTGTTCGGGTTTCTCTCTTCCAAGCTTCGGTTACTTTCTCTTTTACTACTCTAATCTCATCTTCTAGTCTTTCTAAGGCCTGTTTGGGATTCTCAGGTACAAACTTGCACTCTAAAAAAAAAGGAGTTTTACCGAACCCTCAAAAAAGGTTTCGTAGATGCTTAAAAGCTTCTAAATGCGTTTAAACGCTTAAATAAATGATTATCAAAATCTACGAAACCTTAAAAGGATCTGACC